CCGCTCCACTGACACACACATACACTATGTGATTAAAAGTATCCGGACACGACCACACCTGAATACCAGTTTGGACGTCTTTTTCTTTGAGGGGACTTGCACCCCTTGTTGTTTTGTGTGGCGCTACCACGGCACAGCCTACGTTGATGTTTCAAACACCTCTTGCTTCACACTGTTGAAGAGCAATTCGGGGATGGCCATTTTGTCTTTCAACACGATCGAGCACCTGTTCATACTGCACGGCCTGTGGGGGAGCGGTTTCAGGACAATAATATGTAATGGGCTGGCCTGCACAGGGTCCTATTACACACGTTTGGGATGTTTTGGATTGCCGCCTTCGTGCCAGGCCTACATCGATACCCCTCTTCAGTGCAGCACTCCAAAAGAATGGGCTGCCAATCCCCAAGAATTCATCCAGCGCCTGATTAAAAGTATGCCTGCGAGAGTGGAAACGATCATCAAGGATAAGGGTGGGCCAACACATTGAATTCCAGCATTACCGATGGCCACGAACCGGTAACTCATTTTCAGCCACGGGTCCGCATTCTTTTGATCACATAGTGTATGTCGGGAGACTAGTCGGAAACTTATAGTTTGTCCCGTCTGGGGCAATGGCCAACTGGGAAGATACCAGCGCCGGTTTACTGCCAGTGATGGAGGAACACCACACCCCTGGATGTACCGTACACTATACTAACGACCTACGTACTTGACGCGCCCAGAGTGAAAAACTCACTCACGTACCTCCTACTCTTCTTACAGCCTCTCTTATTTGCTTGCAGTCACGAGAATACGTCACATACTGAGTGATTATTAATCGCCATCCAATATTCCTGTTTTTGTGCTAAAGGAACGGCCGTAGCGAATGAGGTAGATCGGGGACGCGGATGGGAGAGTGAGCGGGGGCGGAGTCGACGACGACGGCGACGGCGGAGGAAGCGGAGGCGGTGACGGCGTCGTCATCCGCGGAGACTGCGGGAATGACAGAGGCAGCGACGACAGTCGCTGCGCGGGGCCACTTCCGTTCCGTGTAGGCTCGTTACGCCAGCACGTGCCCCCGCCCCCGCCGTCGCCGGCACCGTCTTCGCCGCGTGTTTGCCCCATCAGCGTGACGTCGGGCTAACGAGACGCGTGACGCGCTTGCCGAAGAGGCGCGCGCACGGGGGGAGGCGGAGAAAGGGGCGACGGAGAGAACGAGTGGTGGTAGGCGCGGGGGATCGAAGTAAACATACAGATCGGGAGTCGAACGTAAAGTTCGCATGGAAATTCGATTTTTTTGAATGACGACGTTCAACGTGACAAAATAGAAGATGGAAAAAATAGTTGTTACACGTGGTGTGGGAAAAGTTCTGACTTCTTCTAAGCGTACAACATCTTCGTGCTGCAATCTGTGGAAAAATAGCTACTCTAAAACTCACTACTGTAGGTGGAGAGATTTTTGAATAGTGGGAGAGATGAAAGTTTGACATTAATGTACTCAAACCCACTGAAATGATGGTTGGTACCTTGTCATCCCAAAGGGTCAAATTCAAGCCCATAATTTAATGGGGTGGGGATGAGTACGCCAGGAGAAAAGTTTGAAAGAAGTTGAACACGATTGTTGGAAAGATATGTTTGATATCAGATTTAAGATATGTGTGCATTATTAGAGAACGAGTATGTTTGTAGGTACTTGAATTCGTGGTTACATATGTAGCAAAAAGTGATGACTGTTGAAAACGCGAATAATATTCGAATACGAATTCGAATAAAGATAACAACGGTCATCGAACATCTAGAGACAGTAAGAACAGTAGTATTTGGGCGACATGCTTCTGTACGGAACGAATTAAACAGACAAGTCTCAGCAAATGGCAGAGAGAAAGATAAACAGAGAGAGAGAGAGAGAGAGAGAGAGAGAGAAAGATAAACAGAGAGAGAGAGAGAGAAAAGGAGAGAGAGGAGAGAGAGAGAGAGAGAGAGGAAAGAGGAGAGAGAGAGGAGAGAGAGAGGAGAGAGAGAGAGAGACGAGAGAGAAGGAGAGAGAGGAGAGAGACGGAGAAGAGAGAGGACGAGCAGAGAGGAAGCAGAGTGGGAGAGAGAGAGGGCAAGAGAGAGGAGAGAGAGAGGAGGAGAGAAGAGGAGAGAGAGAGGAAGAGAGAGAGGAGAGAGAGGAGAGAGAGAGAGAGAGAGAGGACGAGAGAGAGGAGAGAGAGAAGAGAGAGAGGAGAGAGAGAGTGAGAGACGCAGGGAAAGAGAGAAGAGAGAGGGAGAGAGAGAGGAGAGAGAGAGGAGAGAGAGAGGAGAGAGAGAGGAGAGAGCAGAGGAGAGAGAGGAGAGAGAGAGCAGAGAGAGAGGAGGAGAGGGGAGAGAGAGGAGAGGAGGAGAGAGAGAGGAGAGAGAGGACGAGAGAGAGGAGAGAGAGAGAGAGGAGAGAGAAGGAGAGAGAGGGGGAGAGGAGAGAGGAGAAGAGAGAGAGAGAGAGCAGACGAGAGAGAGGAGAGAGAGAGAGAGATGCGGAAAGAGATAAGAGAAAAGCAATGATGCTGTGTAAGAGGGAGTAGCTACGTGATTAAGAGGGTCCAGACACTTCACAGTAAGTGCGTCATTAAGGCGCAGATAGAACATAGCTGGCCGTCCTAAGGCAAACAGCGGAGGGTAGGCACCTGGAACGCAGAGGGGGCCGCTTGCGGGCTGGGCCGAAGGGGACGAGCTCCGCCGTTAATTTCTTCCCGTCGCCAGGCGGCCCTCCGGCCTCCCCCCCGCCGCCGCGGGTCGCGCCTTCCTCGAAGACGCCGTCTTTGTCCCGGATTTCATAATTCCGTAGTAAACCTGGTCCGCACTTCCTCTGCGACGCGGCGAAGTCCTCCTATCCATCAAGAGAGGCGACGTGGGTCGGCGGAATTGCGGGAAAAGTATGCTTCCGCGAGCGCGGTCCACCGCCTCCGTCGCTCCTACAACAAGCCCACCATTCGCCCCGTCACGAAAGAAGAGGAAGCGGTGGTGGAAAAAGGGCAGGCACGATTGGCGGAACAGAGGCGGCTCGGAAAACCGGTGGATTTGTATGTGTAGAGGGCAGGGCAACTATCCTTATTGGCAGGCGGGCAGACGGTAGTGAGAGTGGGTGGATGCAGAGCATGAAATGGCCCACAGCGGAATGCTAAAACTTAACGAGGGATTGTGACCGCTCGTGCAGGCCTAAGTTGGACAGTAGTGGGGGGCAGTGAGGGCTTTGGCATGTCAGCCATGGGCGGGCAAAGAAGACCCGCTGAGGGGGGCAACCAGTGGGGGTCGAGCGGGAGGCGGCAGGGGAAGCGTTGTCAAGTGGGGGGAGGGGGCCGAAAAGCCAATTTTGGCAAGCGGGGTGCCGTTTGGATTTCTATTGGGTGAAGAGAGGCAAAGCTTTTTGCCAGTGCAGGCCGGGCGGGGGCTATGTGGGCAGGGGGAGGAGGGGGGCTTTGGGCGTTGAGGCGCAAAGCACTGGGATGTCCGTCGGCGGCGGGACTGTTGATGGGCATCGTTTAGAGCAGGGAACCAGTGGGGCCTTGAGGGCCGCACGGGACTTCCGGGAAAAGGCGGGGCGGTGAGGCGGGGCGAGTGAGGCGGGGGGTGAGGGCGGGGCGGTGGAGGCGGGGGCGGTGAGGCGGGGGGCGGTGAGGCGGGGCGGTGAGCGGGGGCGGTGAGGCGGGGGCGGTGAGGCGGGGGCGGCGGATGAGCGGGGGGCGGTGAGGCGGGGCGGTTTGAGTGCGGCGGCGGTTGGAAGCGGGGGCGGTGGAGGGCGGGGCGGTGAGGGCGGAGGGCCGATGGGGCGGGGGGCGGGTCTTCATGGCAGCTGGAAGAAGGGCCGGCGGGCCGCCCGTAAAAGGCAGGGGCGGTGGGGGCGTTCGCGTCGCTGCCTCTGCCGAGGGCCGTTTGCGCCGGGGACATGACGCGCTGACGTCGCTCCTCGGGCCTTCGTTAATTTCGCGGAACGTCCGCAAGACGCGCATGTTTCCGACGCAGCCGGAGATGGACGGCGCTCCTCAAGGGCCCCGACACGCGCAGCGAGGGATGACAATACGTTAGTTTGCATTCACATGTGAAGCACATGGAGATAGATGGATTTTACGAATAGAAACGTCTGCGCGAAAGTATACTCTCGAAACTCTTTTGTCAGACTACCCACATTATATATGGTTTAGTTAAGTATGTCATCTAATGCTGATTATAATTCAGTGAGTGGCACACAGGAGTCTGTTAGTCTCTGTTGCAAACGTAATTAAATTAAAAATTGCAGGAATTACGTCACAAAATTGTATAGTTTTTAGCCCGACATCATCTTAAATCTGTGAAATTTTTCAACATTTCTTTAAATAATTAAAATATTCATCACTAAATCTCGTTATGGAAACACTTTCAGTTTCACTTTTAGCTTTCTCACCTTGTGTAGTGACAAAATGAATTGTATAGCAGGTCATTTATAATGCCTTTTTGAGCTTCTTACAATCCTACCCCCGTCATTCCTTCAAATTCGCTGTAAAACCTCTTTCCATCTTCTGGCAGAGGAGTTTGTTTCTAGTGAAACTGGCGTTGTAAAGCGTTATTGTGCGTCGCCGTGGCGGAAAGCGCGCGCAGAGGTCATAAGGCGAAAGACCAAAGGACGCGCATTAAGCGCTGGCCGCTGCGTGTTGTTTCCTGGCGGCTCCGGAAGCGCAGGCAGTGAGTGCGCTGCGTCGCCTTGCGCAGTTCCTGCGCCTCAAGTACTACACACTGCTCGCTGCGCGCTGCAGTTAAGCTCTGCGACAGAGGAGACGTTCCAAAGCAGCGCAATCTTTTAACTGCCAGCCGCAGCGCCAGCCCCTTTGTCTCGCGCTCCTTTTATGGACTGGCAGAAATCCCATTACATTAAATGTACTATTGAAGTTTCCTGCTACGATACTGTCTTTATACGCCATAAAGTCGCGAAGTTAATCTTGTTAATTTTAACAAGGATCTCCGTGGGTTGTCGGGGGCGTGTGGAAATTAGGGACGTGACTACTCACCGGAGAAGAGTTCCAGAAACTTTTCCACGCCGTAATTTTGCGGGAAGCGGTACGTGGGGTCCTTCAGCGACTCTCTGGTGTGAACCTTTATTCTTTTTATCATGAAGCTGATGTTGTCCGGTCTGCCGTCTTGGTTGAAATCTGAAACACGAAATTGTTTTGTTACACATTATGGGAATGCTCTGACGCAAGCATTAACTTACTTTGATTAGAAGATTGTGCAGCACAATTTATCCTTTTCGACGAATTCACGATATTACATCTCCATAATCTGATCTTTTATATTTATGATTGTTTTTAGGAAAGGGCGTACAGATGTAGATGCATATCATTTTAATCAAAATAATTTAATAATTATTTCCACATTTGATACTTATAGATGATATTTCCATATCGAGAAACCAATATTTCTGAAAGCATTTCAAAATAAAGCCAAACAAGAAACTAAAAACCACAGATTTTTTTGTGGTAAGGGCGCTATTTTCTCATATTAATCATGGATATATTCAGGATTGTAGCATAAATGTAAATCTAGAGAGCTACTCTCTTTGCGAAAATTTAATTTAAGTAGTGTATTTAAAATCTATTGCTCTTTAGGTAATAAATTTCACGAAAGCTTTCTTTAATACGAAGTGAGTAATTGCATATTTCAATCACATTAACTAAAGAACGTAATCACCAATGTTTTGGAAGTACTACGTGCTCAGAAGTATTTTATCAAAGAAAATCAACGACATTTTGGGTGCGAGTATTTCGTGTTTAGAAATCATAAAATTATTGGTTTGTGCACGAGTAACGTAAATGAATTACAGCAGAAAAATGGTCATTTGTCTTGAATGATTCATCGGTTGTCTGTTCATAATTTCTATCACGCAACTTCGTATAATTCTCACAACTGCCTGCGATTTCCCATTTGAGATGTTTTTAAGAACATTGTACTAAGTTCAAATGTACATTGTGAAGAAATATTTAAGAAATACTCGTACATTAGCTGCAAACATAACCATAAAAAAATAGTTTAAAAAATGAATGAAGATCTGACTAGCAGCATGTACGAATATTTCTAGATCCAAAAATTCAGAGCATAACGTTTTAATAAACATATGTGTTATTACTTACGTCATTATGAAACGAATATTCACAGTTACTACATTTTGAAATTACCTGGACATTATAAAGATAGGGAAATTAACATTATAAAGGTTAAATAACACTCCAGACGAAGCTCTAAGATATGAAGAAGGTGCCATTGAATTTTCTGTGATTTTCTAGAAATATTTTATAACATAGGAAACCTCATAAATTATAAAGAATAGATCATACCGTGAATGCATTTCATTTCTAATCAATGTGTAAATACACTACAACTCTTTTTATTTATTTCCACACTTCACTTTAAATCTTGTCATCAAAAGCTGAAACATTTAATTAATTATTCGAACATTGCTGTTAAATCAGCTTCAAAACCAACACGATCGCAGCATTTGTGAATAACAATAACCGGAGCTGCACGAAAAGGGTTGCAGTCGGGCTGGGCGTTGACTTCCCCCATGGGGTTTTCCTAATTCCATACAGCGCGCACGCCGCGCGGGTTCATAAATTTTGATGGAAACGTACACAAGCGCACAAAGTCGCTCTCACTTGACAAGGCGATGAGTGCTCCGTCCTACGCCCAACGACGCTGCGGAAACTACCGAAAAAAAAAGAAAACCACGCGTTCCGACGCGGTTGGCCGCTTTTTATCGAAATGTTCGCCAAATTCGATCACCCCCTCGCATGTGCGAAGGGCAGCGCGAGAGCAATCAAATCACGCAAATTGCATTTCGCTGTCGAGCGTCACGTAGAGAGAGGCGCTCTGCGCGAGCACGCGGCGGCGAGAGCGGGGCCGTGGGCGAAGGGATGCAAGAGGTGGTGGGAGAGGGGCGGCGGCCCACGTTGGAGGCGGAGTGCGAAGCAGAGACGCGGAGGCGGTGGACGAAAGAGAACTAGGAGGTTACGTGCGAGTGGGTCGTAGTAGCGTTGTTATACAGGATGTCTCAAAATAAATGTTAGTAACTTCTAGGACATGTAAAATTATTTGCCAGGTTGGAAATTTCTTCTAACGGAGTTACATGTGGCATGTGCCTTTGATTTTTAGAGAACCCCCTAGGCTGTGTAGGTGTGCAGTAGGAACACACAATTTCCTTGACTGGTCAGAACGTACAAACACCTGTACATAAAGAGTTGCCTAAAATTCAGGGCCAAGCGTCACATGTATAAATGTATATGCATAACTTCGTTATATACAATTCACCACTCTATGTTCATTGGCTAATTGTGATAACGATCAATTCCGCTTCTGGTCCTAGAAGTCTGTGACAATTTATTCAGAAACACCTAGGGGGTGGGGGGCATACGAAAGATGCTACAGAAGTAATGGAAGTGGCAATTCAAGTGAAATCAAGCGAGGCGATGCAAGCGAACAGACTACAAGTGGCGATGTGAAGAGGAATGCGAGGCGGTGAAGATAACGGGTCGTTTGTTACAGCGAATGAAGACAAGGTATGGAAACGCGGGGAGGGCAGTCGAAATCTATTGGGAGAAAAGTAAGATTTATATGAGAAGGCAGCTATGTGTGGAAACACGAACTGCAGAAATGTACAATACAGGTAACACAAGTGTGCAGATCTAATTGGTGAACAGACACGATCCAAGGCTGAAGAAGACGAGGGGGAAGAAAGACATAGTACGTCCACGATGGCATTGCAGTGGGTGATTTCGAGGATTTCATCCACCCAGACGAGGATTTCGGTTCAACGATGAAAGGAGCAGCAGGAAGGAAGTTTGATTGGTTTTAGGAATGCGGGAAGGAACCGGAGAGAAGCCGGCGAAGAAGAAGGCGTGCGCGCGGATTCGTCAGACGTTGGCTGTGACCACCCACGCGGCCGACAGAAGAGCGAGGGCGCGGGCGCGAGGAGCGAAGATCGAGTCGAGTCCAATCGAGAAGAGACAGGGATGGCCGTGAGCTGTAACTGCTGCGGAGGAGAAAGTGGTGTGACATGCGAGGAGAGTGTCGAGAGAATGTTTGGATCACGAGATCGAATGATTTGGAATTGTTCTGAATGTCGATAATGGCAAAATTAGGTTGACGGAAAAAGATAAAATATTAGAAATATTTTATACTAGGAAGAGAAATTAATATGGTTGTTACTGGATTTGCTGCTGCCATAAACGTTAATTTTAATTCGAATTATACTAGGTTATTACGAGATTTGTATTTATTGAGACAGCAATTTAATAAAATAATGAAGTGTGTAAAAACCGTATAGCATTATGCGTATGAAGGATGAAAAGAAACTTTATATAAATATTTAGACAGCAAAAAAGTCGCAGAAAATTAAAATACAAAACAAACACATGAAGTGGCTATTTGAAATAAACCGCATAAAAGGAATTTGAAACGTAAGAGCAGCTTATAGAGCAAAACAAACGCTTTAGACTTTAATGATTGCAGAGTACCGAATAGACAAAACAAACGCGAAACCGAAACGCATTTGCACGCGTTGTCAACCTAGTCGCTCCGCCAACAGACAACTCTACGAGCAGATAAGTAGCCGCTTTGACGCGTTCCGGCGCGCGCTGCGGTGCGGTGGGCGCGCGGCCGCCGCCGGGCGAACGACACGAGCTGAGCGCCAGGAGCGGGACCCGCGCGGCGGCGGGGAATGGAAGGGTGGGGACGCGAGAAGTTTGCAAGGGTTGATTGGAAGGGGCGAGCGGTGGAACAGGCGGGGGATGACGGATGGGGAGGATTGAGTTGGATTGCGGGGGGGCAGGGGGTGGTTGGGGGTAGGTGGCGGGGGGAGGCTTCGTTGTGTGGGTGGGTGGAGAGAGGTCGGTGTGGGGGTTGCAGGTGGTGCTGAATGATGGGGGGGTGCGGGCGTGGAGGAGGTGGGGGGCCCGTGGCGGGCGTGGCGGGGAGGCGATGTTGAAAAAAGCAAGGGGGGTGAAGGGCGGAGGGCAGGTGAGGAAGGGGGGGGTGGGGATGGCGTGGGAGTGAGGAACGGCGGGCGGGGAGGAACGGATGGAGAGGATGGGGGAGGAGGCGGTGCTGGAGGGTGAAGTGGAAGGCAGGTGGGTGGCGTGGAGGGAGGTGGAAAGGGGTGAGGGGGCAAGGTGTGGGGTGGGGGGGGAGGGGCGGAAACAGGCCGGGGAGGGGCGGGCGGGTGGG